ACCACTCCCACCCAGTCACATAGCTAGCAAACCACTCCCACCCAGTCACATGGCCAGCAAGCCACTCCCACAAAGCAGGCGACACCTACAGAAGAGGTTCTAAAATTTTTTGAAAGCAACCACTGCTCTGGGGCTACTAAATCTGGGCTGCAAAAATCTAGACAACCAATGCATAAACCACCTGGTGATGGTTCAGATGTTTGCCAGATTTGGCAGGTTTCCCCCACCCTCGTGTTTCTATTGTCCCTTTTAACAATTAAGTACATAGCCACTTGCTTTTGGACACATTCCACATTGGGCTGATTTGGGGAGGATTTTTTTTCTTATGCTACATCTGACATAGTAACATCTCCCTCTGAATGTCTACGGAAGGTTCCACAACATGAAAATGAGTAAACAGGAATATTTTAAAGAAGCATTAGTAAACAGGAGTATTTTAAAGCATGTTTACATATTTTGCAAAATCTTTTCAAACATCAAAATATATTTTTCTATGGTTATGTTCTTATATGACAAGAGTAAACAAAAATAGTGAAGATTAGCACCTTAAAACGTACATAGAAAAGTAAGTATTCAGAAACATATTTGTGTACAATTTTTGTTTATTAGATTTTTAAAAATGCTAGCACACAATTAATCTTAAGACACACTTCATTCTTCTCCAAAGACATCCAATATGAAAACCTATAGTTATAAACAGAGCAGTAGCTCATTGCCAGATTATCTTTATCTATGTCCAATAATGAAAATTGAATCGGTTGACCATATATTTCTGTTGCATTATTTATTTATCTTGGGCTACTAGGGACTTAATTAAGCCGAGAATATTCCATTGGCAAATACACAGTTCTGCTTAAGAACTGTTAAGTTTATACAGTGGTAATTTGATACCCAGCTGCTTTGAAACTCATCAAATTTGGTACTTAATGCATTTTGATGCAAAAATTTTGTGCCAGTATTCATCTTTTGTATGGTACTTGATGCAAAAGTTAGAACTTGTCAGTGGCAGCTGCCTTGTGATATTATTCCTTATGGGAAAAATTTGTTTGGTATTCATTGTTCATTGCGCCTCCTGGAATCAATTAATGATGAGTACCGAGGTACCACTGTATATAAACCTTATACTAGAACAAGTCAATATAAATGGAATACTTTGACTTCTCATGAATAGACATTTTGTCACGGGTCACATTTCCCATGCTGTCCATTTTTTGAACGCACCCATTAAATCATTTCAAAAATTCCAATGTGTTAAAAGTCCAGGAAGCTATTACCCATGATTTTAAGGTAAGGTAAGGTAAGATAGGGTAAGGTAAGGTAACCTTTATTGTCATTTTTTTTTTTACTGTGAGCACACTGGCACACATTAAAGATGAAATTCTGTTGCCTG